AATTTACAGGCGGACTGTTTAGCCTGTTCTGCACGTACTAGAGCTTTTAATTTTTCATTTGTAAGCAACACTCCTCCCAATTGGTTAAMCAATTGTAGGGGCATATTTTAAATATAATTATGATTGAAAAAAAAAATATTATCTCGATCGGTTTGGTTCTTTAGCTTTAGTTCACGTGACATACCATAAAATCCAGCTAATATCATTATCATATAGCAATAATACCACGTAGAAGTTGGAAAGAAGTTGATACATGAGTAAATTTTTGTAAATTTCAAATAGATTTAGGTTTACATACCCAAATCCAAAAGGATTTATAATATTTTGCTTTTATATAAGAACCTTTTGTGCTTTCTAAACATTCTCACCAAACAGTTTCAAACTTCACTAATCATCACACAAATAATGTCTACTCATCCTAAGATAAACATGAATTATTTAACTTTACACCAGTTAAATACAAATCATGTTTATTGTCGTACTTACTACGTCTTATCAGAAAGTGGAAGGCAATAAATTTTTTAAAAATTAATGTTTTATAGAAATCGAATTCCTATTACTTGATGAAAAGGTTAACGTATTTGTATTTAATATCAATAAAAGTCTTAATTTGCTATTAATTACTTGATTAATGGCTAACTATAAGTTAATTATATTTGGTAATAATTCTATCTTTTTTTATTTCTTACCGCATTGATATGAGGTGTACTAATTTATTTTTTATTTTTTCTTAGGTTTTTTTACTTATAATAAATATTAAAACGGTAAAAGTATTTCATTATTCAAATTCGGATTTGTATACAATGTAATCAATTTTATCGAGACATGTTTGAGTCAATTGGATTGAAAATATTTAATTATTTGAATATATTTTCATAGCAATTAGTAAATAGTAATCCTACTTTACATAGGACTGAAAATATTAAATTATTTGAAAATATGTGAAATAATTTAATTAAAAATCAAACAATATAAAAACAAATATAAATAATACAATAGAAAATGTTTTTGTTAGACTTCTCTATAAATATTTAATAATTTGAATATTTTCGCCTTTGTTTTTTTTTTGTAAGTTGTAAAATATTAAAAAATAGTTCACATACAAAATGATAAATAATTCATCAACATTTTCAAAAATAGATATTTGAATAGTAAAATAATATTAAAAAGTAAAAAGTTTTATCAAATTTAAATAGGAATAGGAGAAACTAATAATTTCAAAATATGTCATAAAATTTAATTATAAATTAAATAACAAAAACATAAAAATTAATAAATAAATGATATTCTTTCGATCAATAGTTTTGCATTAACATTCTTACTTTGATGTTAACGGGTGATCTAATTTTATTCATCACAATTATATATTTTTTCTACATATTTAAAAAAAAAATTCACAAACCCGCATATAAATCTGTAGGGCAAACCCGCATCACAATCTACTTTTTTTAAAAATTTGTTTTCAGATTTACCTTAATTAAATTTGTAGGGCAATTTCGTCCTATATTTATTTCTCTCAGCTATTTACCTAATTTTATTTTGTGACATGTTAATTACCCAATTTTTACTCTCATAAGTGATATTCAATGGTAATCATATATCTAAAGTGGGAAGTGCCTCTGTAAAGAAAATCTAATCGATGT